CCCCCCCCATTGATAGCAGCCACCCAGGGCCATGACTGGGCATTATAGGCATTCTATGGACAGAAAATTTGGTTCTTCTTTTCCTCCCTCTCTCCCTTCCTGATGTCCTAATCCAGAACACTCTCTACTGTTGTTTCAAGCCACTAGGCAGCGTGGTATAACAGAGAGACAGATAGGCCTGGGTTTAAATGCTCTGAGAGACCCAAGGCAAGTTACTTGAGCTCTTTGATCCATTGTTTTTCCATCTCTAAAACCACCACCTCTAAATTGTAGAATTAAGTAAGAAAATACTTTGTTAAGCTTCGGGTCCAGTACTTGCTACACAGAAGATGCATAAACACTAGCTTCCTGCTCCCTTTTCTCCTTCCCCAACCATCTTTCACTACCATTTTTGAGGGATTTAAAGGCAAAATGCCCTCTGGTTTCCTGGGGGAAATGAGCTGAATGTGTATAGTAGCCAAAGCTTGACTTGGCCAGGTATTTGGTAACAAACTGTCATTTTCCTGTGAGCTCCTAGTGAGATCAAAGCTGTTAAGAGAGGTCTCAAGTAGGAGAGGCTGAGAAGGTTGTCAATGACAGTAAGTTACGATTCTGGCTGCTGTTGCCTCTTGCACATACTCTGGGCTATTGAACACTGCCTGCTGCCCACCGGCTGACAGGGGCTGTTCCCCTGGCCATTAGACTTGGATGCAGTGATTCTTCAACTGGAAGGCTTTTCTTGGGGACACCCTCTTGATCCCTAAACTGTTGAGCCGGCTCTTTTGGGCTTTTCCCCCCATACTTACCTCTGTTGCCCCCCTGCTTTCCTCCAGTCTAGCGTCTCAGTCAGTCACACTCGGCATCCAAGAAAAAATCATTTCTGGGCTGATAACTTTTCAGCAGTGACACCCATACCCTGTTGATAGGCCAGGAAACCTGCTGCCCATAAACTTGAATTGCATAAGTGAAGCAGTGTTTTGCAGCAGTTGGTCAGAGTTAAGAACCAAGAAAATAACTGCTGAAGCCTGTAATTCTCCCAGTAAAAGCAGTGGGGAGAGCAGAACTGTGAGGTCTGAGCACCTATGGGGGAGCCCATCCCTGTGTTTCAGCAGATGTGTCAGTGCTATCTATATGCTGGGGGCTGGGCCTCCTCTGACAGGATGCTTATAGGCAGGGACACAGATAACCAAAACCCAAGTGACACAGCCCAGAGGAGAAAAGTGTTAATTCTGCCTAGTGGGCAGAGGTGGAGGCTTCATGGGGGAAGCAACATTCCAGCTAGACTGTGAAGGATGGGCAGGGTTCAGGAATTACTCTCACCTCAGCCCAAAAATCACATGAAGCAGGGTTGACTTTTAACTGCCCAATACAAAGAGAGTAATTTGAAGAGAGCAGACATTTCCCCATCAACCCCAACTGAACTTTTTGTTACTGTTGTTAATCCTCATTGAGGATATTTTTTCCACTGATTTTTTAGAGAGAGTGGGGGGCAGGGGGGAAGAAAAAGAGAGACATTGATTGGTTGCCTCCCACACGTGCCACAACAGGGGCCAGGTATTGAACCTGCAACCCAGATACATGTCCTTGACTGGGAATCCAACCCGCAACCCTTTGTTGTGCTGTCTGATGTTTTAACTACTGAGCCACATCGGCCAGGGCCCAACTAAATATTTTAAAGTAAGTAAAATTGTTCCTGCTTTGGAACTGGACAACAGGGAACACTTGTCTCCTGGGCAACTGTTTTCCCTGCATTTCTTTAAATAGTAACTGACCTTCCTATCTGTAGAATGGGTTAAACAGTGAGATTGCTCAAAGAGTTTAGTGTCCCATTTCTCTCGTGTTTTGGCAAGTCTCCTTGTCCTCTCTGGTCATTGAGATAGGGGCATGTCATACTAAAATCCCATCACTAAGCAGATTTTTAAGCTAAGTGGTTCACATTTAGTGGGCAGAGCTGGAGAAAGTGACCCCAGCCCCCATCCTCCAAGGCATTCTCCTCTGTTCCTGGAGCTGTCACACTTGGGTGTTTATTGTCACACTAGGCACTGGCCTGCGTGCTTTTACACTCCTCTCCTACTGTGGAAAACCCTGTCTGAGATTCTAGGTTGTGAATTCCATCCTCTCCACCTAACTGAGTGTTAAATAGTTTGAGTGAGCATTCACAGTGCTGGAAGTTACTGTAATTAGCAAAAAGACTGTGTTTTCATCTCTCCTGGTGATAAAGAATCCTGTGAAGAACCAGCTTCAGATCTCTAGGTAGAGAGAGTTGGGAATTCAGCTGCCACAGTAAACAGCTGACATAACAGAAGCAGCAGTGATCCCCCATTAAATAAATGTCTTTCAGCCGATAGGGCCTCCCGGGATAATTGACTTTCCAGCAGGAATTACTGGCTCAAACAAAATCACTGGGCATTAGAGAAGCCTGCTGCATCCTTTAAAAGGAGGACTGTGACTGTCTGGTTTTGCTGACCTGACAGGCATCATTCATCTTGATTATTTATTGTCCTAGTCACCACCAGATGACACCAGATTTCTGTTGACTGAAATTACAACATGGGGGTGAGTTTTGGCTTTTTAATTTTTTTTTATTAATAGTATTCCACCCACTTGGTTATTGGCCTCCCTGAGCTGAAGTTGCTGTAGGCTGATTTCTACAACATCTGCTTGGGGAGGTGATGAGTGCGTAGTCCGATAGCATTCACTGAGCACTTCCTCACACACGTCTTTTACTTGATAAGCAGGGAAATAATTTGGCGTAATTCAGCATAGCCTGTTTCATTTTAGCTGACAGGATATCACTTCTTGGTTATGCTTACCTCCCTGTGTGCTAGATTGCTGCTGTGAGAAAGTGGGTCTACACCTCAGATACCACTTGGGAGTAAGGGAAGAAAAGGATGGCCCCCAAATATGACCTCCTGCTTTCAGGCAAGCTTTATTAAAGGGAGAGGGGACAACTTTATTGGTATGGTTTCACAACAAGATCCTTATGCAGTTCAAAGAATGTCCTCCAAGAAACCTCTACTCTCCATTCCCAGATGCCCCTTCCCAACCTCTTACACATCCCAGCCAGCTGGGTGGCATGTGTCTACATGTGCACGTGTGTGAGTGCGTGTGCCTGTGTCCTGGGGAAGAAATGAGAGGATGTGATGGACTCACTGGGTCAGGGAAGAACAGCAGACTTCTAATATGACATTTTATACACCAGACTAATAGAGGGTGGGTTTTACTCTCCTGTATGGTATATGTGTTTCGTTTTGTATATTTTTTGAAGAGATGTTCATCAAGCATTCACTGGGGCCTAATAAGTGTCAGGCAGTGTGCTGTGTGCTGAAGATACAAAGATGAATAAGACACCTTTGCTCTCAAGGAGCTTATAGTACACATAATTCCAAAATAATATGTTAAATTCTGAGCTCAAAATGTACAGAGATTGCTTCCAGAGTACTTAGCACAGCTGGGAGTGAAGAGGAGGCTGTCCATAGGAAATGATGCCTGATTTGAGGAATAAGAGTTACCCAACTGAATAAGGCTAAGAAGCAGATTTCAAGAACATAAACAAAGGCGTATTTATATTTACCGTTTCCTCCCTTCAGTTTAATGGTATTGGTTTAACCTAATCAATTACATTAGGATTAGGTTTTCACTATTTCTCTAATGAAAATGAACATCAGCCAAGTGGCACAGGGTTTCTGTACCCTGGGAATAATTTCAGGCCCTGGGGATGCTTATATCACTAGGGAGTTCTGATTGCTAGATTTAGGGCTTCTAATGGTTAGGCTTGCTGACACCACAACGTCCTGCTGCCTTTGACCCCCACTTAGAGTGTTGTATGGAAAGCCAGGCTAGCTATCTTCACAACATACCATAATATACAAACACACCATAAAATACACAAACACACATACCATGTAGAACCTGCAGAAAAGTGGTACATCTCAGAGTGGTGGCTTCTTCCAGAAGATTAGCTAGGGATGAGCAGGTTCTCAGGAAACAGGGCCTTGGTGTCCTCCTCTTCCAGGATTCTCAGGTATAAGTATTTCCCACTCTCCTCCAACAAATGGAGATGATTCTTCCACCTGACTCCCTCTCATTTTGGAACCATACTTGAAAGTAAAAAAAAAACAAAACAAGGTCTCCCTATAAGGGTGGCAGAGATAGTGACTTGAGCAGTGTAAGCCAGAATAGCACAATTGCTAACGCTCTTGATCTTCCCTCTAAACAATTGCCTTGTTCTCTAATGCTCTTTTCCTACTCCCTTCTGAACTCTGCTTTGTTTCCCCTTTAGAATGGTGGTTTGGCTTGGAGTGATGATCCAGATGGATGCCGAGGAAGAGAGATCTCTCGAGATTTTGCCAAGGTCTGTAATGTTTCCTTTGTGATAAAGGGGCAGTTCTGCAGCGGGTCGTTGTATCTGATCCCCAAAGAATAGGATTGGAGTGGTCTATGAGTCATATTTGTAGTCATTCAGATGGTGTGTATCTCTGGCGTAAGGCTTCCTGCATAAGACGGATTTTTCATTGTGTGTTTTTTTGGTGGGGGGATTGGGATTGCAGCTGTATGAACTGGACGATGATCCGGAAAGAAAAGAGTTCCTGGATGACCTCTTCATCTTTATGCAGAAGAGGGGTGAGTGTGCGTTATTTCAATTCTTTTCATATTTATTGAGTGCCTGTTGTAGGCAGTTCACACTTCGGCTGAACTCCTCCCCACAGAGTGCCAGAGTCTTAACTCAGGAAGACAGGGCCATTTACTGCTAATTGGTTATGAACCTAGCCAAACAATTGACAGCCAGATTGAAGAGGGCAGATAGGGCCTTGGCAGAAAATGAAGGGAATAATCATTCAGACTTGGTCCTGCCTTATTTTTGTCACCCTTCTGATTAACGGGTCTCAAGTCATTTCAAATTTAAATACTCACTTAAACTAGTATGTGGGGCTTCCTATTGACGCATCTAGACTTAGGAAAACTGAGAAAGGCCAATGAAAGAATAGAGGCCCCTCAGGACTTGTTGGGAGGGCCGGAAATGACCCGTGAAAAGGATAAGCTCTTTTTCTAACCCATTGGCTCTTTGATTTTTGCATCCACTGGCTTGGTGGGGGCATTCCTGCAGTTAAAGTTTTGGTACATGGGTGTCTGCTTTATTATACCTTCCCACTTCTCTCCTCCGCTCCTCACTCTCCCTCACCCACTCACTTTGGACCATGATTTGACTGAGTCTTGAGCCCAGTGACTCAACCACCTGGCTTTATAGCCTTTCATATCAATGGATTCACCAGCCGGGACAGCCCTCAAGAAGCATGGCCAGAACCCAAGCCTCTCTAGGAGAAGGTCCTCAGCAACCTGTGTAGCTCCACCGTCATCATGACCTCAGTACAAAGCCATGGGAGATCACTACTCCCACCAGCCTCTTCCCCAGGATTATGCATCCCTTGGTTTTTGTGTCAGCTCCTTCATTGAGATCTGGCAATGAAATGTTCCTCTTATCCAAGGCTGAGCTATAATGGCAGCCTCAGCTGCTAAATATTCTGAGTGAACTCCTCTCCCTCCCCCCGCAACCACCCTCATCCCTCTGTCTTTCCCGCTCTTTCCCCTTCCTTTGCCTTCCAAAGCTGAATTGCCCTCTTAGTAGCATGCCTATTACTTACTTTGTCATATCTTTGCTCACAAAAGGCAGTCACAAGTTTTGAGGTTCAGTGCCTCCCATCCCCATTTCCATGCATATCAAAACCATCGAAACAGCCTCCAACTGTTGTGTGGAGCTGCCTGTGTCAGTGAAAAACAAGAATATAATCCCAAAAGATAACGTGACTACAGCAGAGAAACACCCTGGTTGCCCTGGGAAGGAGAAATCCACTTAATACTTTGGTCTCCCCTTCCAATTACTTTTTAATTATTTACAAGCTCCACAAGGCCAGCTGGTGCAAACCCAGGAGGTGATTTCATCTCAGGGGCTGTTATAGCAATAAAGATTTTAATCAGTGCTGTAGCTACCACTGCTTTTTTTTCCACTTCATTGTTTTTCTCCCTTCCCAGAAAGATTTTTTTTTTTTTAATTGAATTTAGAAAAAAGAAGGGATAGGGGGAGAAAGAGAAACATCAATGTGAGAGAGAAACATCGATCAGTTGCCTCCACACACACCCAACTGGAAATCAAACCTGCAACCTGGGTATGTGCCCTGACCAGGAATCGAACCCACCACCATCTGGTGCACCAGATGATGCTCCAACCAACTGAGCCACACAGGCAAAGGTGAAGGATTTTTGAAGGACAGTGGAAGTTATGTCAGCCTAGCCAAGAGTGAAGATTCATAATTGTTTCTTTAGTACTGTGTGTTCCCACTAGACTAGGAGCTCCTTGAGGACACCCACTTTGTCATTTCTTTGTGCACCCACTGCTAGCACAGGGCTAGACAGGGAGGTGCTCAGGCCATAATTGGAAGTCATCAGTAGAAAGCAGTGAGTGCTAAGTCTCCTGCTACTCTGCGTACTGGGGGCTGCCAGACTGCCACCTGGTATATTGCTGGGTGAATCGAAAGCAGGAGTAAGTGACTCCTTTTGATTGTGCCACTTTATGATTATTCAGGCCCTCCATAAACCTTTTTCCTGTCTTCACTTATGTTAGGTTATTTCACTATTTGCTGGCATCACCAATAGAAGGGAACTGGATGAGTCAGTTTTGCTACTTGTTAATTGCTCTAATATAATGTTTCTCAGCCTTAGCATATGACTTTCGGGACTGGATAATTTTTTGTTGTGGGAGTACCCTCCCCCAGTTGTGGTAACCAAAAAATGTCTCCAGGTATTGTAAATTTCCCTGTGGGACAAAATTGCCCTACTGATGAGACCACTGTCATAGAAGGATGGGAAAGAGGGTGAAGATCTAAAATTTCCTCTGCAGATCAACTCTTTATGGAAACCATCTTACTTCCACTCAGATAGCAGTATCTGAGAGTGGTGAGGCCTGTGTCAAGCCATATTGCGAGGGCCACTTCTGTGGCTGAATGCCAGACAGACATGGGTGCTGGGCCCCCATCCTGGGATGGTGTGCAAAGGAAGCCTTGGAGAGGAACTGAGCTCCAACATGTCAGGGTCATGGGAATGGATGAAGCCACACAGGTGGAGACAGAAATGCAGGGATGTACATGGCCCAAGCACAGCTGGAAGAACCCTTGTCTGTCCTGGATGAGTCAGTTGTAACCAGACAGAAGACCCATGTTTGGCAAAGAAGTTAGCGCTCCCGGCTATGGACATAGTGGAGTTATTGAAGTTAAAACACAGGGTGTCACCAAAACTGGGCCTTTAGGACACTTGCCGTGGTGAACAGTGTATAATTAGGCTGGAGAGGGGAGACTGAGGCAGGGGAACATTGCGGAGTTGTTCCCTTAAGTTCAGTGATCTCCCTTGCAAACTCCTGTTTGATCATCTGAATTAGAGTGGGCTGTTCAAGAGGGCTGGGAGCAGATTGCACTTTTGCTCTCTTTGTTCTTCATACAGTGGTGAAACCAAGGGCTCCTAGACATTTGTGACTTATTTGTCACTCTCAAATTGGAGTGTCTGGGGCACTCAGGAGCCAGATCTTGTTAGCTGGGCCCAAGGAAAAGCCTTATAGACCTCCACAGCAGGTCATCCTCCAGAGCTAATATGAAGAATAAGTGGTAGATTTCACAGGAGCCACTGAAAACTGCCTGAGTTTGAAAGGCCTGGTGACGCAGTCCTGGGCTGTGAATGGGGCTGGGCAGCCTTGACACAGCAGGCTGTACCTCAGAGGAAGTGGACAGGGCTCCAAGGGAGGCAGCACACACCACACTTCCCCAGAGGACTGCAGGTGATGAACCTGATATTCATCAGGAGGTTTCTGGCTGTAACTGCTGCTTTGTGTTGGCTCTTTTGCTTGTTAATGCATTTGGGTAAATTGAATGTAACATATGGGCCTGTCAGCTCCAGGCACCTTGGTTGCTAGGCCAGAGCTGGGTAACTTGTGCCCTGGTGACCCCTTCCCCACCTGCAACAGAGCAACCTGCCCTAGAAGGAGCCTGAGAAGAGGCCTAGGCTGTACCCAGCTGGGCTCACTATCTCCCACCTGCCTCTGATAAGTATAAAGTCAAGGCTATCATCCCACCCTTCCCCATGATCTTGAGCAAATCTTTCCTTTTCTGGGGGATATGGTTTATTGATATATAAAATGAGAGGGTTCAGTTGAAGTTAATCTGGAAGTTTCTTCCAGGTTCTGTATTCTCTATTATGTGTCCATGATTGTGTCTATTGAGCTACCAACAGGGAAGACCAATCCTTGATGACCAAAAAAAAAAATCTTTTTAAAGCAATTTTCTATCAAAATAGTTGTGTCAAAACTAGACCTACGCCAGCGTGGCTCAGTGGTTGAGCATCGACCCATGAACCAAGAGGTCGTCGGTTCAGTTCCCGGTCAGAGTACATGCCCGGGTTGCAGGCTTAATCCCTATTAGGGGGGCTTGCAGGAGGCAACCAATCAATGTGATGTCTCTCATCGAGGTTCCTCTCTCTCTATCCTTCTCTCCCTTCCTTTCTCTCTAAAATCAGTAAAATTTTTTTTAAAAAATAAACCTAGACCAAGGATCCTCAAGACCTAATGTTTCTCCCTTTTTCTTGCTGTGTTTTCCCTTTTGTTGACTGATACCAGATTGAATTAAACAATTTGCCTTGATTCTGCTCCCCCAAGTGTTTCTCTAGAATGAGTATAGTTAGATTTCAGTACTCTGGTACTCCTTTTTGCTCACCTTTTGCCTCCTGCACATGCGTGTGTAAAATATACAAGTTTCTCTGCCAAAACTAAAGTCAAACAGTGTAGATAAAATTCTGTGGCTAATGGAACTCACTGTGTGTGGTTTCTGAGGTGGCGTTCCCTGGTGGATTTTCCAGGAGGAAAAGGGGGTGGTGGTGTTAATTTGGAAGTCTGATAAGCAAAGGTTTATAAACAATTCCATTCTTCCTTCATCAGTGAAGAAGAAAGGTTTGTTCCTCGAATTCCCTAATGTGGACTCATCAGAAGAGGACAATGGTTTTGCTGTTTTTATTATTATCCCATGCACTTTACAGAACCCTTTCAGCCCATTATCTGATCTGCTGCTCCCTACAGCTCCAGCTCTGTGGGGTAGAGAGACCAAAGATTATCACTTAGCCAATGAAGAACCAGCCCCCAGGTTAAGTGACTTACCTTAGGCCACAGAGCAGATTTAGCACTTGGTTTCCTAACTCCTAGGCTAGTGCTCTTTTCCTCTCTGCGCTGCCTTTGTGAAACTGGGCCTGTAGCGCCAGCAGTGGATAAGCCTTGTTTCTCCAGTCTTCCTACAGAGAATGCTGGTCTGTCTCCACAGGCTGCTATAATAGCTGATTAACATAGGGCAGAACTCTTTGTGCAAGCCCTCTTTCTCAGGGAAGGGCAGATTCACGGTGGCACAGAGGCTGCCATCTGTCAAGGCAGGATGGGGTGGGTTAGGGTTAGCACAGGAGACAGAACCCCCACCAGCAGGATCTTGCACACACTCAGAGCACCCACAAGTAAGGCTGTCCTCTCAAGCCCCTGCCCTAGCTGGGCACAACAGGCTAAAGAACTGCTTGGTTATGTGGAAGAGTTTTGTCAAAACCTC